GAAGAAGTGTCAAGGTTCCCAAATCTTAAGCTCAAAAATGCAGCATCAACTTCTTCGTAAATTCTGTAATTTTCTATCCATTTTCTCAAATTGTTTATTATACCAAAATCGTACCCCGGACATTACGAATCCAACCCAGATTAGGTTCGTGATTTCGTTAAGTATCGAAGGAGATATGGCCAAAATACCGGGACTGCTCCTGCGGTGGCGGGCTCCTCGAGTTGGCCATGTTTCTTCATCATTTTCACATCGTTTCTTTCCAATTACTTACCGTCAACTCTCTCGTGGTTATTAGGAACTTCTGAAGATTATTTCCAAGAAGATTGAACGTCGGAAGCTCGAAGTTGATAGGGGCGACCGTACGTTGAACGTTCGTTGAGGTGTATTATTATTTTTCTATCATTTCCATCCTCTACGATATCAAGGCGAGTACATTGCACCTTAGTAACACAATCCTTGGTTGAATATCAATCTAGATATATCGTTAGGATTGATTGCCATATTATAAGTCATTTATGCTTTAAGATCAAACTCATTAAACTCATAAAGTAAAAATATGTTTTTCTTGATACTTCACCTTAAATGAAAATATAAATGTTAAGAATACTTCAAATACATAGATATGTTAGTCATAAGTTTTAAAATAACTCAAAGAAGTATTTTAGATATCCAAAAATATCAAAAATAGGATTCGCAAACCCGAACGGTCGACGTAAACGGTCAACCGTTGCGTTAAAAATCGAAACGGAGCAAGACTGTCAAACAAACGGTCGACCGCCGGTGGCCAACGGTCGACCGTCGCTTGCCCAGCCAAGTACCGCCTTCCACCTCCAGTCAACAACGGTCGACCGCCGGTCAATCATGGTCAACCGTCACGGTGAATCTCTAATCCGACCTAATGAAGATCAAGGTCGACCGTCGCGCCAAACGGTCGACCGTTCCGAGCCCAGTAGTTTTATTAAATGATATTCTAATCATGTTTCATCCAAATAAACTAATGCATGATTATATATTCATATTGTTTGCAAATTGTTCACATCATGTCATTCATTTCAACATTTATATTGAAGCATATCACATCATGTGCATGCGTAAGAGATCATGTGTAATTGCGTCTCTTATAGCATGATTGTGCGGGACTTAGTAGTCCGACATCACACGTTCGGGCTTAGTGTACGTACATGGTATTCAGGTTTCGAGTAGCACCCCTACTTTCTAGTCTTCCTTATGAGACTAAGGTCGCGTGAGTTCGTCGTACCAAATGGGCGAACCTCATAGCGCAAGGGTGTCCTTGCTCGTTAGAATCATACAACATGAAATCATCATCAAGTGCAATCATTATGATTACGTATGGCATCAATTACGTATCATTACCATCATCTTGAACATATATGCTATATTATGTCACATCATGAATAATTGTATGTTTACTTGCTATTCAACTTGGAATTGTTATATTAGCGTATTCCTCAGCTGACGCTGAGCGTGTAGTTTGTTTTACTTGCTACACGTAGGTAACAATACTGATCATGGAGCCCATCCCGGAGGTCAATGAGAGTGACGAGATGCACGGACTGGTGGACCACATTTATGATGCTTTAATTAAATAAATACCTTTTTGGACGAGAACCCAGAAAAATGTAAAACAATTTGATTATGTTTTATATTTAAGCTTCCGTACTGTTTCAGCAATACTCTGAATTTAATATTTGAAATTATCATTTATGTTAAAGTTTAAATTGGTTTTAAATTATCCTTCAAATTACCATGCGTATTTACCATCATGGTAACTACTCCGGCTCAAATAATCTAGTTTATTGGGTTATTCGAGTTGGGGTGTTACATATCTTCGCAAGGCCAATGTTGCTACTGCACTCATGCTGGCTTTGTTGTTCCTTCGAAGGTCACGCTTCTTCAACAATTGCAAGATCCGAACAATAGGACTTGCAAGATTAACTTGTAAGAAAGTTGATGTACCCCCTTTTTAATCAAGAAGTTTGATTAAAAGTTATATCCTTCAACATGGTGTGGTACTTGAGGCAAGGAAACCTTCAAGTGTTTACACTATAGCTCTTTGGAAGGAGGAGAAGTTTGCTTCTGGATAAGGAGTTTAGAAATCTCTCTTTACCAAGCTTTTTAGGCTAACTGTGAATGTGATAGCTTTGTACTTTGAGATTGCTTCGTTGTGTTCTCTGCTTTCTATCACATATTTTTCTCCAGTCTTCCAAGGATGCTATTTATAGCTGGATTGGGTAATCTATCCGTTGAATCAAAATAGACTATCCATTGCATTTGCTGGCTTCAATTTTGAATGAAGATTGTGATTTAGGATTCCTTATTGGAATGGGTGTTTTGGACATACCCAATTGTTTGAGGAGGGATTCCTTTTTCCACAGAATCCATCTTCTAGCGGTTGTTCAAGAATTCTGGACTGTAGCTCCTTACTCAGTTTGTCTTCTAATGCCTGTTTAGGAATCCTGGGCGAGCTCTTCAATTTGAGAAGTCCAGACTTTGTCTTTAAGTCATTTGTTCTTGAATCAGCATAATTATCTTCAATCTAGCCGTTGGAAATCAAGAGATTGATTTTTCCTTACTAACGGGTAGAATTTCTTCATTCAAGACTTAGATAATTTTCTAAGTCTTTTTCTCACTTGTCTGCTTTTGAGAATTCTGGTCTTTCTTTGAGGCATCCGGTTCTTTGCTGACAAATCTGGAAAAGTCATTCATAGAATTCCAGGTGAGAAGAGATCCGCGCTAGTCCTCCGATTCGGATGACTTAGCCTTCAGCGGGTGGTAGCGAGACATCCCGTTATCATAAAGTGTTCCGGATTAGAGAATCTTCAATTGCTTTGAGAATTCCTTACTTGTCTCTGACATTTCCGATCAAGATATCCAATTTCCATATCACTGAATTTGATTAAGTCTTCAACCATTGACATCAAACCACAAAGTGAAATATCACAAATTTATTGGATATCTCAAGAACTCGGTTTTAACAATATTTCTAAAAAGAAAAATTACATTGAATATTGGGGGAGACCTAAAGTCCCTATTACAATCTAAATACATCATCATCAAAATCTATAATATTTTTCCCAACAATTTCCCCCTTTTTGATGATGACAAACAAGTGTTTAAGAGTTCCGGTCGCTGTACTGAGAACTAATTTTATAACTTTCTTTTAGTTTCTCATAATATACAGCTTGTTAACAAAAACTCTTANACTAGGGTTGTTCATGTTTCTAGGACGTGTGATTTGCTTTCTAGGTTGTCTATCAAACTTAGAATTCCTAGAATGACTTAGATTATTTCTAGGTGATCTATAGTATTTAATCTTAGAGGTAGATTTTAGTCTAAATTCTTTTTCAACTTTCTTCATATCTAATTTCAAATCGTCTACCTCTTTCTTAAGTGCTTCTATCTCAAGACTAGAAGACCTACATGAAGAACAAGGTGAATCATTTAATTTCAAATTAGTCTCCTCAAAAGTCTTATTTTCAATTTTGAGGGAATCAATTTCTTTTAGCAAAATATTATTTTTCTTATGCAAGAGGGTGATTTTATATTCAAAATCTTTGGCAATAGATGAGACTTTCTTAAATTCTTTAAATAAATCACCAAATGCGTCTTGTAGTTCTTCAAAACTAAAAGGATCGTTAGAAGAACTTACCTCTTCGGATTCACTTTGAGCCATAAGACAAATGGCTACTTCATCATCGCATGAGGAAGAGGAGCTAGAGTTGGATTGCTTGCGGCGTTTGGACTTCTTGAATTTTCGATTAGGGCAATGACCCTTGATATGTCCAAGCTCTCCACATCCATAGCAAGTAGGCTTTGTACTCTCATTCAATTGCTCAAGCTCATTTTGCAAGAACTCATTAAATAACTCGAGAATGTCACTTTCTCCAGAGCAGCTTGTCTCGACATATTTTGACGATGAAGCTTTGAGTGCAACTCCTTTGAATGATAGATTTTGACCCCTTTTGATCTCCGCTGCACTAGAAAAGTTAGACATTTCATAAGTGAGTAGTTTACCTCGAAGTGCGTCATATGTCAATGTATTGTAATCTCGGCCTTCTTTGATAGGGTTGACCGTAGACTTCCATTCCGGTGTGAGACTTCGAAGGATTTTTCGAACGAGAACATGATCCTCATAATGCTTTCCAAGTGTATCCAAATTTGAGACGATAGTTGAAAATCTCTCGAACATGCCATCTATTGTTTCTTTGATTCTTAGCCTTGATGCAAAAAATGATGATGATATTTTGTCACTCTTTTGTCATTATCAAAACCTAAAAGACAATGGGCAAAGGACATTGCAAAAATATATATGCATGATAGCACATTGTCCAACAGCTTTCTCCATTGCCGTCTATGAGGGTGAGAAAGAAAAATTTCTCCATTGAGGATATTTTTCTTGGTGTTTTTCTGAGACAGTGAGTTTGAAGACAGGAAGAGAGGTTGAGTGAGGGGAGATTCACGGGTTCCATTAAGTGGGTAGCTGGAACGGTGAGAGTAAAAGAGTTTCAACTTCTAAGAAGTTAAATTTTGAAAAGTTGAATGAATCTTTTACCAGTTACCAAGGTGTTGAAACTGTTCCAATTAAAATCAGTTTCGTTTGGTTTGAAAAACAAAACTCTTTTGGTTTGGCTAAACCCAAAAGGGTGGCCCAAAAAAAATCTATGCACTAAAGGGAAATTATTCCTATTGGGTTCTCAAGGCCCAAAATAAAACTATCATTTTTCATTCCCTATAGTTCTAATTTCTAATTAGGACGAGGTAGTACCAAAAAAATATGAAATTCATTTTTAAAAGAAAAGTGGTACTATTTTTCCAAAGTCCTATACATTATAAAAATCCTAAGGACCAGTACTTTAGAGTAAAGTTGGAAATGAACTAAGGATTACATCTTAGTTTCAGAAGGCAGATTTTGTAAAGTACCTAAATCGGAGATCTCCAAATTTAGTAATTAAACTGAGGTATCCGTATTCCATTGCTCAGAGTTCATCAATAGTTCATTACCAAAAGCAATTGTTAGCCAAAAACAGTTATGTCCCCCCTGAATTACATTCCCCCTGAATGTATGCGCTCAATCTCAAAAATCATAATGAATATGATCAATCATAATTAGGAGATGTTTTAAGCAATGTTTAAACCAAAACTTATGTTTAAACAAGAGGTGTTTTCATCAAAACAAAATAATGTTTTCACATACTTCCCCCTGGTTTGATGAAAGGAGCCTTCACTGCTTCTTGCGCTTAGAAGATCCGGCAGCCTCACCAATGCCTTGCATAATTCCACACTCTTCTTTGATGCGCCTGAGGTTGTTATATCTCTCCTTTGTGTGGGCATCATTTGATATGTGGGAGACAATGGTTCCAACAACTTCTGTTCCATCAAGACCAGTGTCTGTTAGATGCTGTGTTGAATTCTCCAAATTGCTCTGCTGGGCTTCAAGTATTAAATCTGTCATGTTCAGATGAGATGGAATGTATGTGAGTTCTCCTTTCTTGACTTCAATAGGAAGCTGTGGAATCAGGGATGGACTATTGTGTTGAACAATTACATCTAGCTTGTGTTTGCCAGTGTAGGTGCCAAAATGTCTGAACAGCTTGAATGCTTCCTTCTTATTTTCAGCAATAACCTTGAGGTAGTCTTAGGTTACCACCTGGTTTGCTGAAGATACTGCCAATGCTGATCTCATATCCATCTGGAGAAATGACATTTGCTTCTGTAGGCTGACTGTAACTATTGCAATCTGCTCTTTGATTCTAGAGACTTCTTTGAATTGAAAATGACAGTCAGATGCATATGCCTCCATTGTATTGCTCACGGACTTACTCAATAGAGAAATGATCTCTAGAGTCTTGTCCACTGATTTGCTTATCTCCTTGAGATCTGAGCAATGTTTTTCTTCGGATTTCTCCATCAACTTGTTATGCCTAGCTTCCATCTGTTCTATCTCTTGCCTAAAAGAGGCATGCTGAGATTCTAGGGCAGATTCAATCAACCCTTAGACCTTTCTTGTCCAGGTTTCCAGAACCTCATCCGGAAGAGTGGATGTGGAAGAGCCGTGAAAGTGGAAGTTTGTTACCTGATGTGAAGAAGGTACTCTGTGGAAGAGTTACAGAGGGAGTGATTCAACATCTCCTTGCTCAGCTTCTTCATCATCTGTTGAAACACGGGCTTGTCACGTTTTTCGTACTAAAGCCGTGTTCGTTTTTGTAACAGGTTTTGATAATGCCAAACCGCCGTGATCAAGACAAACATTGAATACACAAGGCGAAGAATGAAGATAACGAACAAGAGCTAAAAGAGACCAAGAACGAAGACCGCAGTCTTTAGTATTGTTGAGTCGGTCATAATCATGATCAAGACCGACCCAACCCTCACGCACTGGCTCTTTAGGCTAAAATCTTTCATTGCATTTCTTAGATCATAAAAATGTTTTTCAAACTTGTTTAAGTCATTAAAAACACTTGGTGTTCGCCCAAACCAAAAACCAAGCCATTCAGCGTTCGGCTTTCAGAAACCGGTGTTCGGCTTTCGTTTATCGGCATTGGTTTTTAGCGTCCGAACCAACCAAGTGCTTTTCAAAATTTTATGATTTTTTTTCACCCTTTTGCATGTTTAAACAGTTCTCCAACAAAAACACTTTGAAAACCACCTTTCGCTTTTGGTCGTTTGGCAAAAACCACGCTAAATGGTATAAACTTGGCGAGCCGTGGTTTTTACTCAAATGACGTGGTTTTTAAAGTGCCTCACTTGATTTCTTATAAAAACACATCAAATAAGTGTTTTAAACACTTGGTTTTTATTTTGGAGAACTTTGGATTTTTCGGTCGGTTTTTGCATCGGTTGGCTAGGCCGTGGTTAAGGCAAAAACCATGGGTTTTTGGCTAACCACCCACCCAGCGATGGGAAGAACTTCCCATCGATGGGTAGGCGGTCCTTCAGCCTAACCAAGTTCCAGAACCATGCGAAACAGCGATGGGAAGTTTTACCCATCGCTGTTAAAGCATTGGTCCAACATCTTTACAAGGCAAATCGACCTTACTCAGCAATGGGGAACCTATCCCATCGATGGGAACACAACGATGGTAAGGGTAAACCATCAATGGAAATGCATGACCGTTGCAAGTCATTTAAGGCTGATTCTTTCCTTGTTTGAAAGTCAACCTCCCACCCAGCGATGGGAAGCATTTACCCATCGATGGGTAGGTGACCGTTGGCTTCAAAACTGAAGGAAATTTGGCTTACCAGCGATGGGTGAGTCTAAACATTGATGCGAAGCCAATATCCTGCAGATCCCAAATTTATTCAATCCCATAAATCAAGCCAATCACCCCTTTAATGTATTGGTCCGTTGGAGCCTATTTTCGCACTATAAAAAGGGGTGTTTGGGTCTGCTTTTCATATCAATTCACTTCACAATTCTCCTACTTTCATTGCATTCAAACAACATTCTTTTCCATAGCTTTTTAGAGCCATTTTGTGTGAAGGTTGAGTTGTTCTTGAGCGTACTTAGTTTACTCATTATCTACTCTATAAGAGAGTCTCGTTCTTGAGTGAAATTGTATTCTTAAACACGTTGAGAGTAAGTATTTCTCTCGTTTGATTCAAAGGAAGGGTTGTTTCCTTTGAAGAATTCGTTGAGGTTCGTGTGACTCGAACTCTCAAGTTGTAAGGGTTTGTTAAGAACCGTTAAGCTTAACGAGATAGTAGTGTAGCTCGAGAGAGTCTCTCGGGAGGCTGGATTAGCCACAAGTTGTGGTGAACCAGGGTAAAATTCTGTGTGCCCCTTACTCTTCTCTTTACTTATCTTTTAATTTATAATTCCTGCGATTTCTTTGATCCAACGCTATTCACCCCCCCTCTAGCGTTGGTCTATTATTCTAACAATCGGTATCGGAGCCTAACTCGCGTCCAATCTTAACCGTTTGAGAGTAAAGCGATCATGGGTTCTTCTTCTAGAAATCTTTATGCAGAAATTGGAGAAGGTCAATCAACCTCTAGGCCACCGCTTTTTGATGGCACCAACTACACATATTGGAAAGAGCGGATGAGAATTTATATCCGCTCAACCATCTTCCAGTTGTGGTTTGTCATCAAAAACGGCGAAGAAACACCAATGAAGAAGGTCGGTGAAAAACTCGTCCCAAAGACTGAGGACGAATTTGATGCCGAAGACATCAAAAAGGTGGAGAACTACGCCAAGGCAATCAACATGTTGTACTGCGCGGTCAACCCTGATGATTATCGCAAGATCTCTTGCTGCACCACCGCCAAAGAAATGTGGGACAAGATGGAGGTCACATATGAAGGTACGGACAAAGTTCGGGAAGCCAAAATTAACTTCCTAACGCAGGAGTACGAAATGTTTAGGATGAAGGAAGGCGAAAAGATCGATGACATGTTCGATCGGTTCTCAAAGATCATCAACGACCTTCATGCTCTCAAAAAGACTTACGCCAACAAGGATCTCGTGAGGAAAATCTCGCGGAGTCTCACACCCGAATGGAGATCAAAGGCTGACGCAATCTACGGATCCATCGGAGTCTCCAAAGTCACCATCAACAGGCTAAGAGGTAACCTCAAAACTTATGAATCTACTATTCTAACCCCGTCTTTGGATGAACAAAAGAAGAAAGGAATTGCGCTCAAAGCAACCAAGGAGACCGTAGAAGAAGTCTCAAGCGATGAGGACAACGAGTTCGGACTCGTCATCAAGAAATTCCACAAATTCATGAAGAAGGAATTTGAACGAAAAGGAAGAAAGCACGACGGTCCCCCGAAGTGCTGTGGCTGTGGCGAGATAGGCCACATCAAGCCGAGGTGTCCAAAAGGCAAAAGCGGCAAGGACAAACCTGGCTTCAAAAAACAACGTGCCTATATCTCATGGGGTGGCGACTCCGGCGACGAGTCAACTGACCAAGAAGAGGAAGAAGCCGCCAACCTCTGTCTCATGGCACACGAAGACCATGCCGACGAAATACAAGAGGTATGTATCACTTCCTCCGACTCTTACACTTTTGAAGAGATGCAAGAAGCTCTTCGAGAGCTTTATGATGAATTTGTTAGCGCTTCTAAAACCAACAAATCATTAAAGAAACGTCTTTCAACTCTTGAAAATGATTTTGAAAAACTGGAAAAACATAATGAAAAGTTGAAACAAGAAAAAAAATTTTATGGCAAAAGAAGCGCTGACAAACCGGAAAGCTCTTCAAGTGAATGTGAATCTTGCAAAGCTTTAAAAGAAAAGGTTGCAAAACTTGAGAGTACGGTTAAGAAGTTTAATTTACCACACAAAGATCTTAATTTACTCCTAGACACTATGCATTTTTCTAAGGAAGGATTAGGTTTTGATAAAAATGAATCTAAGGATAATAACGTTGAGCAAACACCTAGATAATCTCCTAAGGCTCAACGTAAGAAAGTTAAAAATCAGGATAATAGAAAATCTAGTCAACTTAAGGACACTAGACAATCTAGACAAAAACCTAGGAACGAAAATGTGGATATTAGACAACCTAGAAAAAACTATCAAAATGAATTTGTGCATAAAAATAATTTTTCAAATAGACAAAATAATGCTAGGACACCTAGAAGAGAGAATTTTCAAAAACCAATATTTTCTCAAAATAGGATGAATATGGTTAGGCCCCCTAGCAACTATTATCAACCTAGGAGGATGCACAACCCAAACGTAGTTTGTCACTATTGCAATAGGGTAGGACATATAGCTCCCGTTTGCTTTACTAGGCATAGGCATTGGGCACAAAATGAATCACACTACCACTTTGCACCTAACACTCAAGGACCCAAAAAGACTTGGGTACCTAAATCTTATTAAATCATTTTTGTANAAATCAGGATAATAGAAAATCTAGTCAACCTAAGGACACTAGACAACCTAGACAAAAACCTAGGAACGAAAATGTGCATATTAGACAACCTAGGAAAAACTATCAAAATGAATTTGTGCATAAAAATAATTTTTCAAATAGACAAAATAATGCTAGGACACCTAGAAGAGAGAATTTTCAAAAACCAATATTTTCTCAAAATAGGATGAATATGGTTAGGCCCCCTAGCAACTATTATCAACCTAGGAGGATGCACAACCCAAACGTAGTTTGTCACTATTGCAATAGGGTAGGACATATAGCTCCCGTTTGCTTTACTAGGCATAGGCATTGGGCACAAAATGAATCACACTACCACTTTGCACCTAACACTCAAGGACCCAAAAAGACTTGGGTACCTAAATCTTATTAAATCATTTTTGTAGGTGTGCTTGAAGGCGTCAAGTGTACTTAAGTACCTTGATAGCGGATGCTCCAAGCACATGACTAGAGATGCATCCAAGTTCCTACAAATCAAACCCGCTAAAGGAGGAAACATAGTCTTTGGAGATAATAGCAAGGGAAAAATTATCAGTGTCGGTTCAGTAGGTAAGTCCGAAGACTCCTCTATAGATAATGTCTTGCTTGTTAAAGGTCTTAAACACAATCTCTTGAGCATAAGTCAATTATGTGACAAGGGAAACCGTGTGACCTACGATTCAAAATCATGCACGGTAGAACGCCTTAGTGACAATAAGGTCATTCTACGTGGTGATAGAATTGATAACATATATATGCTTAACTTAGACAAATCTCCTTCCGGCTTTGCTAAGTGCCTCATGAGTAAAGAGGAAGACATTTGGTTATGGCACCGAAGGGTAGCTCATATGAACATGAACCTTTTGAACAAATTGGTTTCACAAGACTTAGTAATTGGCATTCCAAAACTTAAGTTTGAAAAAGACACCATATGTGATGCATGTCAAAAAGGGAAGCAAGTTCGGGCTTCGTTTAAGTCTAAGAATGTTGTTTCAACGTCTAGACCGCTTCAACTTTTGCACATGGATCTCTTTGGTCCTTCTAGAACGAAAAGTTTTGGTGGTAACTACTTTGTGTTTGTGATTGTCGATGACTACTCTAGGTTTACATGGACCTTGTTTCTAACTCACAAAAGTGAGGCATTTCACGTTTTCAAAAATTTTCTAAAGAAAGTTCAAAATGAAAAAGAAACAACCATAGTAGCCATAAGAAGCGATCATGGGGGAGAGTTCGAATGAAATCTATTCTCAGATTTATGTGACGAACTCGGCATTGATCATAATTTCTCAACCCCACGTACACCACAACAAAATGGAGTGGTGGAACGTTGGTGGTCCCGAAGTGGTGAGATACAAAGTCTAGAGGGGGGGGTGAATAGACTTTGTTACAAATTTAAAACTTTTTCGTTTCTTTTGAAAACGTGAAAATGAGTGTTAATCTAGAGTTCTTGTGAACTTTAGATTGTGTGCGGAAGTTGGTAGGTAGAGTGAGCAGTAATCAATATGGATGAGTTAGTTTTCACAGTTAATATAATTGCAAGTAAGAATAAAGATAAAAGAGAGAGACACGCAAACTTTAATGAGGTTCGAAAGTGGGGTAATCCTTCTACGTCCTCAAAATCCACTATGTGGTTGGTTGTTGAATAATGAACCAACAATTACACTTGTGTGAATTTCTGCACAATATATCTTCGCAAGGCCAATGTTGCTACTGCACTCGTGCTGGATTTGTTGTTCCTTCGAAGCTCACGCTTCTTCAACAATTGCAAGGTCCGAACAATAGGACTTGCAAGACCAACTTGTAAGAAAGTTGACCTACCCCCTTTCAAACAATAAGTTTGATCAAAAGTTGTATCCTTCAACGTGGTGTGGTACTTGAGGCAAGGAAACCTTCAAGTATTTACACTATAGCTTTTTGGAAGGAGGAGAAGTTTGCTTCTGGATAAGGAGTTTAGAAATCTCTCTTTATCAAGCTTTTTCGGCTAACTGTGAATGAGGTAGCCTCTTTGTGGTTGTTCTTCTTATCGTTGATGAGTTGTTCTCTTCTTTCCCAGTCTTCCAAGGATGCTATTTATAGTTGTATTGGATAATCTATCCGTTGAATCAAAATAGACTATCCGTTGCATTTGCTGGCTTCAATTTTGAATGAAGATTGCGATTTGAAGATTCCTCATTGGAATGGGTGTTTGGACATACCCAATTGTTTAAAGAGGGATTCCTTTTTCCACAGAATCCGTCTTCTAGCTGTTGTTCAAGAATTCCGGACAGGTTCTTCAATTTTTAGAGGTCCAGACTTTGTCTTCGAGTCATTTCTTCTTGAATCAGCATAATTATCTTCAATCTAGCCGTTGAAAATCAAGAGATTGATTTTTCCTTACCAACGGTAGAATTTCTTCATTCAAGACTTAGAAAATTTTCTAAGTCTTTTCTCACTTGTCCGCTTTTTAAGAATTCTGGTCTTCCTTGAGGCATCCAGTTCTAAGCTGACAAAATCGGAAGAGTCATACTCAGTCTTCCAGGTGAGAAAGAAATCCGCGCTAGTCTTCCGACTTAGCCTTCAACGGGTTGTAACGAGACATCCGGTTCTCATGTAGTCTTCCGGATAGGAGGATTTTCGTCTACTTTGAGAGATCCTTACTTGTCTATGACATTTCCGATCAAGATATCCAATTTCCAAATTTCTGAATTTGATTAAGTCTTCAGGCATCAAACCGCTTAAAGAAATATCACAACTTTATTGGAAATCCCAAGAACTTAGTTTTAACAATATTTCTAAAAGGAAACATTACATTGAATATTTGGGGAGACCTATGTTAGACAAATGTGCAACACTAGAGGGGGGGGGTGAATAGAGTTGTTTTTAAGAATGTGCGTTTTTGGCGTAAAAAAAATATCGCATGAATAAGTAAAGAGAGTAAGGGAAAGAAGAACACCGAGATTTATACTGGTTCACCACCTCGTGGCTAGTCCAGTCCTCCGAGAGACTCTCTCGAAAGTCCTACTAATCTTCAAGCTTCAACGGGTGCTTGAAAAACCGGTACAACTTGAGAACTTGAATCACACAAGCCTCACTTTCTTACAACAACAAGACTTGAGTCACACAAGTCTTTTGAACAACACTCAAATGAGATTGAGTTTACAACACAAGAATGAAAGCTCACACAATTGAGCAAAGTAGTGTTTGAAAGATTTAAGCTCTATGGATGACAACTTCTATAGCACTCAAAGAAAAATATTTCTAACTTTCAAAAATAATATTTTGATGAGGAAGATGAAGCAAAGGATGAATATAGCTCAAAGAAATATATTGGAGTGCAAGAGGTGTGTTTTGAAATGAAGGAGAATGAGGGATTAAATAGGCTGAGGAAAATAAAGCCGTTGAAGCAGGCTGAGAATATGCACTAGATAAAATTAATCGATTAAAGTAAAGGTTTAAATCGATTACCGTACACAGAAGCGAAAAGCCT